ACGTGGCAGGCTCCTATTGGCTTACGTGAAGGACACGTGGCGGAACCTGGTTGGTCCACTTGTCAAACGGTGATTGGTGGATAAAAATCCCCTAATCACCAGGAACTACAAAACCCAGAGGTTTCTCCATGTAGATCTCCTCCTCCAAATCGCCATTCAGAAAAGCTGTCTTAACATCCATCTGATGCACAATCAAGTTGTAAGATGAAGCTAAAGCAAACAAAACACGAATGGTGGCAATTTTAGTCACCGGAGAATAAGTATAAAAATAATCAAGGCCAAATTTTTGAGTGAATCCTCTTATCACCAATCTAGCTTTGAACCTTTCCACGGTGCCATCGGTTCTCATTTTTCTCTTGAAAATCCACTTGCACCCAATAGCTGTGCTCCCTTTTGGCAGGTCCACAAGCTCCTAGGTTCCATTTGACATGATTGAGTCAAGCTCACTGTTTACAGCTTCCTTCCAGAAGGTTTCATCCACTGAACTCATAGCTTCTTCAAACGATTTCGGATCTTCATCCACAACCTGTAGACACAGCATGATCTCATCTAGATCATCTTCGAACTCACCTAGATTTCCGCACTCTGCTATAAAGGCTGTTAGGAAATCAGGTCCAAAGCTTGTCTCCACTCTTTGCCTTTTACTTCTCCTAGGTTGAATCTCACTTTCAATCCTAGGGGAAGTATCTTCTGGCTCTGCAGATGAAGGAACTGAAGAAACATCGTTAGTAACTAAATTTTTCTTCAAAGGAAATACTTGTTCAAAGAACTCTACATCACGAGATTCGGATATAGAGCGATCTTCCAGACTCATAAACCTGTATGCGGCACTATTCTCAGCGTAGCCAATGAATACTGTATCATAGGTCCTAGAACCTATAGTTGAGCGCTTGAACGATGGATAGCCCACCTTAGCTAGACACCCCCACACTTTCATGTGATTCAGGTTTAGAGCATAACCCTTCCATATTTCATATGGAGTCTTGTCTAACTTCTTGTGAGTTACTCTGTTCTGTACATAATTAGCTGATAGAACCGCTTCACCCCACAAATTGTCTGGCAACCCGAAACTTAGGAGCATTGCATTCATCATTTCCTTAAAGGTCCTATCTTTCCTCTCTGCCACACCATTTTGCTGCGGAGTATACGGGGCCGAAAGTTCGTGAATGATACCCTCACTTTCACATAAGTCCTTGAGGAAATCGGAGCTATACTCTCCACCCCTCTCTGAGCGAACTCTCTTTATTTTCCGCTCCAACTGATTTTCTACCTCTGCCTTATACACAAGAAAATTGGACTCAGCTTCATCCTTCGTCCTCAAAAGATACACCCTGCTATATCTAGAACAATCATCAACGAAGGTGATATAGTAGCGTTTCCCGCCTCTACTTTCCAAGTTCTTAAAGTCTGCTAAATCTGAATGAATTAGCTCAAGTGGTGTGGTCTCTCTCTTCGTGACAGATTTATAGGGTTTCTTCACGAATTTAGACTCAGCACACACTTCACATTTTTCAAATCCATCTAATGACATATTTGGGAGCAAATTTAAACTTTTCATTTGTTTCAATTTTGTTGCACCAACATGACCCAATCTACTATGCCATAATTCAAAGGACTCAACAATATAAGCAGAAGTAGAAATCTTATTCATTGAAGGAACAGTTACAATCTCAAGAACAAATAGGCCCCCACTAAGGTAACCCTTTCCAACATACTCCCCATTACGGGTTAACACAAGTTTATTAGCATCAAAAACTAACTTAACTCCTACTTTGTTCAACAAAGCACCAGAAATTAAATTTCTACGAAGAGAAGGAACATACAGCACATTGTGAAGAGCCAAGGTCTTCCCTGAAGTCAGCTTCAGAACCACTTTGCCCTTTCCAAGTACCTCAGAGCTGCTTGAATTTCCCATGTAGACTTATTCACCTTCCTTTGCATCTTCCATACTGACAAACAGGTCCTTGTTAGCACAAAAGTGTTTAGATGCACCAGTGTCCACGATCCATTCACTGTTGTTCTAAACCAGATTGACTTCAGAGACAACTGCAGCAATGACATCTTCATTCTCATTCTCAACCAGATGAGCATGACTCTTGATTCCTCTTTGATTTCAGATTTTTCTTCTTCTTGTTTTTGCATTGTGAAGCAAAGTGCCCTACTTCACAACATAACCAACACTTGCCAGTGACTTTCTTCCCATTGGAGATTTCCCTTCTTGGCACGATTATCACTTGTTTTCTTGTCAGAGTCAGCACCAGATTCAACAAGGTTAGCCTTGATTGCTAACACATTCTTAGGCTTAGAGGAAACATCCTTAAGCCTATTGGCTTCCTCAATATTCATGTGGCTCACAAGTTCTTCTAGGGTTAGATCCCTCTTTTTATGCTTGAGGTGATTTCTATAATCTGACCAGGAATCAGGCAATTTTTCAATCAAGACATTAGCCTGAAGGATTTCACACATCTTCATACCCTGAGCAAGAATTTCAGCAACATAATTTTCATACACATGGACTTGGTCCATAATAGGCTTTGTATCAACCAATTTGAAATTCAATCAATTTCCAGTCACATACTTCTTTTTCCCAGCATCATCAGCACCATATTTCTTCTCTAAAGACTCCCACATCTCCTTAGCAGATTTTATATTGACATACAAATCAAATATGTTGTTTTTCATGCTGTTCAACAGATGACCTCTAACGAATTTATTATCATGATCAAATTTCTTGATTTCAGATTCATTAGCAATAATAGTAGTAATCCTTTGACTAGAACTAGATTCTTTATTCCCAGGACCAAGAGTACTAGGAATTTCAATCATGGTATTGGTTTGCTCAATGGGTTTTGGAGCATCCCTAAACAAAACATAATCAATCTCTACTTGTTCAAAAGCAATTAACATCCTCTGTGACCATCTCTTATAATTAATTCCATCAAGAGACTCAACCTTAGACAGATCTAGGTATAGACGATTTTGAGAATTGCTAGTCATGATATCAACAGAATAAATCAAATTCTATTTCGCTTCTAAATTGTTGGTAAAATAACTGTTGAAATCAATAACAAACAATAAAGATTAGAACTTTCCTGGATTGAAGATCTCAAACTCACAGTCGCGCCGTGGAACAATAATCCACTGCCTTAGAAGCAAAATACGCCACCACCGGTACAAGTTTCCTAGTGACGCACGCCCCCAAGTTTAACGCAACTCTCTCCGTAATCTGTGCACCCGAACTCGAAGAGTGGAATTGCTCAAGAACTGTTCAGATCTCAAAAGGTAGATTTGTGTTTTTCGGCTAGGAAAAAGTGAATAATGTCACGAAAAGGTAAGACTCGTATTTATATGAGTCTTAGAAAAGGAAACACGTAATCAAACCGACATAGGAAAAAAGGCGGGCCCGATCGGGCGCGAGATTAGGTTTTCCAGACGTAGTGTCGCGCCCGGTCGGGCGATCTGAAATCCCCATTCCGGGCGAGCCATCGGGCGAAGCCGCCCGATCGGGCTCGTCAAAAACTTGAGTCCGCCGCCCGGTCGGGCGAAGCCCGCCCGATCGGGCGCCAGAGATCTCGTAGAAAAACTCTTGTCCATCGCCCGGTCGGGCGCGAGAGTTCCCTATTTTCCTTGACCACCTTCGCCCGATCGGGCGAGAGCCTCCCGATCGGGCGTGAGTCATCCGATTGCATTACTATTTCCAACAGATAGTACAACTTTCATTATAAAAACCTTCCTTTTATAATGTGTTGTAACTATTGTGACATTTTCACTTTAGGATAGTGTTGCAACTATAAAGAAACGAAGGAAGTATATCTTTACCTATTATATAAAAACTCAAACCACAAGGGTCAAGTGTCATCCCTTGTATTGTAAAAAAAAAATGTCATCCCCTCTTTATTCATTTTTTAAAATATAGTTTTATTGCTAATTCAATAATATTGATGAATCTCATTGTTGTGATTTTGAATGTGTGATATGATGTCCAACTTTTCTCTCCCAAACACACTACATTTTCTCATATGAAAACTACGCATATAATTGAAAAATAATATTGTAATTTTAAACCGATTTTACTTAATATAACCTGTGCAAATGCATGGGCCAAAAGACTAGTTTTGTCATGAATAAGCAAACTTGCAAACCCAAAATTAACATAAATGAGATATATCCAAATATGACTAGAATAAAACAATCCAATTAAAATAAAGTTCCTTTGTTTTGGTCTTGTACAATTCTTGCTAAAGAGGCAAGGCTGCTTAAATTAAATGTAGTTTAAGATGCTTATAGTTAAAAGAGGGAAAAATAAGGTTTCAATAACTAATGGTATGCAAATTCTTAAATTCATTGATCAGGTGCAAACCATTTATGAAAGTAGTACAAAAGCTGCACATAGTCTCTCCACCTTACTCAAACCTGTTGAGCAAGACATTCGAGACAAGGTTGATGACATTACTGAGCGCTTGCTAGACATTCAGGACCAGACGCATAGTTTGAGCTTGACAGCAGCACACATGATGCAGCACCAGACCCTCCAGACAGAAACTCTTCGAGGCCAGAGAGAAACAACTTCTTTGGTATGCAAGGTTTTTGGAAGGGATGAGAAGAAACAAGTGATAATTACACTGCTACTGAAAGATGAGCAGAGTGCTGAGAATTATGTTGTGATTCCTATTGTTGGAACAGGTGGCATTGGTAAGACGACCCTTGCTCAGTATGTATACAATGACGAGCAGCTGAATGGTTGCTTTGATACTAAGGCCTGGGTGTGCATCTCAGATGTGTTTGATGTGTAACGTGTCACGAAAGATATAATCAACTCGGCCACCCAGAGCTGTCTTTTCGACTGTAGCAACCTAGATCAGGCACAAGTGAAATTGCAGGAAGTGCTTAGAGTCAAAAAATTCCTTATTGTTCTTGATGATATATGGAGCGAGAAGTATGATGATTGGTACAACCTACAGGAACCTTTCCAACACGGTGCAAAAGGAAGCAGAGTGATAATGACTACCAGAAATGAGAATATTGCAAGGATGATGATTAATAATCCAGCGCTATGCAATATCCCCAAGTTAGAAACTTTGTCCAGTGATGACTGTTGGCTTATATTTCAGCAGCATGCAAAAGTAGAGTTTGACCTCGCTCAGATGCGAGATAATATTATAGAAAAGGTCAATGGATTGCCTTTGGCCGCAAAAGCTCTAGGAGGTCTCCTTAAAAGTATCCCAGACAAGAGCCAACGCCGAAAGATATTAGAGAGCAGTGTTTGGGGTGAGAAGAGCAGTGTTTTACCAGTTCTAAGGCTGAGTTACCATCATATGCCATCCTATTTGAAGCGTGTTTTCTCTTATTGTTCTGTACTTCCAAAAGATTACAAGTTCATGGAGATGGAAGTTATCTTACTATGGATGGCTCAGGGCTTTCTACCGGAAACCCAAAATGAAAGAATGGAAGATATGGGCCATAAGTACTTCAATCATTTGGTATCAAGGTCGTTATATGAACAAATTCCGTCTGACGAAGGAAAGTACATCATGCATGACCTCATCCATGATGTGGCTCAGTTGAGTGCAGGTGACGTCTGTTATTTAATGGATGCCAAGAAAGATATTCCGAAAAGAACCCGTCATTTATATATCACCGAGCATGTTCAAACATTGACAGATCTAATAATGGCTCCCCACTTGCGGACTTTTCTTTGCAATTCCTATTTGATAGTTTATAATTTGAACTTCATTCAAAGAATGTGTTACATACGCGCCTTACTTCTAGTTTCAGATGAAATTGAAGTTCTGCCACAGTGTTGGTGATTTAAAACACTTGCGCTACCTTGGTATAGAATTCAAAAGAATGAAAATGTTGCCACAATCAATCAATAATCTTTGGAATCTCCAAACACTATGCTTGAAAGGCTGTTACAAACTTGAGAGGGTTCCATATATCGGATCACTGAGTAAACTTCGCTACATGTACATTAGTGAATTTTCTTTGAAGGAGATGCCGCTTGGAATTGAGAAATTGACAAACATGCAGACTTTGGAAAAATTTGTGTTGGCAACGGGAAGTGGGTCTAGGGTAAGGGAGTTAGAGAGGTTGAATCAACTCTGTGAATGATTAATGGTTTCTGGTTTGGAAAATGTAACAGAGGTTGCGGATGCACTTGATGCCCAATTGCATAAAAAAAAGAGTCTTGATGGGTTGTATCTGAAATGGGGAACTTATGTAGATGAGGTTGATGACAAGACTAATAGAGATGTGGCTGAGAAGTTGCAGCCTCACATTTCCATCAAAAAAAGTGAGTTAGATGGGTACATGGGCTCGACATTCCCAAGTTGGTTGGGAGATCTCTCTTTCAGTAACATGGTAGACATTAAGTTGAATAAGTGTCAAAAATGTGAATGCTTGCCTCCACTGGGGCAGCTATCTACATTAAAGAGTCTTTGGATTGAAAAAATGAATGGTATTAAGGAGGTGGGTCTTGAATTTTATGGGCATTGCTCAAATCCTTTTCCATCTTTGAAGACTGTATTTTTATGGTGTGAAATCCTGGGAGAAGTGGGTGCACCCACCAGTTGGGAACAACAGGGCATTCCCCATCCTTGAAAAGCTTTCTATTAAGCATTGTCCATCATTGCAAGGCGATCTACCTCCTCATTTGCCTTCTATTAGAAAATTGGGAATCATTGAATGCAGGCGACTAGAATCCTTGGAATTGAAGAATTTGTCTTCCTCAACATGTCGTCTTGAAGTACTCTATGTTAAAGGATGTGAGTCTATCGTCTTTATTGGTCATATTCCCTTGACTCTACAACCGTTGGAGATTGATGATGGTGAGAAATTAGGATGTGTAGATTATGATGAACAAACTATAAATCTGTCTGCTAGAAGTGACAATGAGAAAGCCCTAAAGAGTGAACAACCTACAAAGGTTTCTTTGGAGCTTCCTCTTCTCACTGAATTGAGAATAGAAAGATGTCCAAGTCTAAGATCATTACAAGAAAACCTGCTTCTTCCAGCTTTAAAAATCTTCACTTGTGGGATTGCAGAAATATGGAAAGGCTTCCCGCTCAATTGCACAATTTTAACTCCCTCCAACGATTTTATATTAAAGAATGCCCTAAAATCCATTGCTTAGCAGAAGGTGGTTTACCCAAAAGCCTGAAATATCTTTACATTGAAGAAGTAAATGTAAAGCAGGCGGTACGAGAGTGGGGATTGCACCTACTTCAATCACTTAAGGTTCTTACACTTAAAAATGTAGGCAGCTCTCTAGACTCAGTAGAGTGTATACCGTGCCCAGATCTTTCTCTTCCCTCTTCCTTGTCTGAATTAAATATCAAGGGATTCCAAAATTTGAAAAACATATCCTTGCTTAGCAATTTAACCTTGTTTATAAATTTATCAATTAAAGATTGCCCAAAATTCCACAACTTCCCTCAAGGAGGTTTGCCTAAAAACCTGAGAAGTATTTTAATTTGGGGAACCAACATAGACAAACCAATAAAAGAGTGGGGATTACACATTCTATCTTCCCTTGAATCTCTTATACTTGTAAATGTTGGCAGCTCTGTTGATACAGTAGAGTGCATTACCTGTTCTGACCTTCCCTCTTCTTTAGAGCTTTTAGAGATAGAGGGTTTCCAAAATTTGAAAACAGTATGTTGTTCTACTCTTCCCAGGCTGTTCTTACTCCATATCCGCTCTTGTCCCAAATTTGAATCTTTTGGTGACGATGGCCTTCCTCCATGCATTAGTTTCATCTCTATTAAAGACTGTGGTGTAATAGAACAACAGCTGAGAAGTGATCCCAATGGTGGTATACAAACAGTGAATGGAAAATTTTCGCTACCTCTGTCTAAAAATCAACCAAGTTCAGCCCATCCAAGTAAGTGTAATAAGTTTTACATTTTTACATCAACGTACATTTTAATACATCTCACATCTGACAGCATGTTGATACAAGTATACAACAATCATTGGAACTTCACTGAAGCAAAAACTCATACATTGCTTAGTATAAATTTAAACATTTGAAGCTAATTGTATATGCAGTTGTTGTGAGTTTTGAGTCTAATCAATCAATCATAGATAGAATATGTTTTGACCTTTTTTTTTTTGTTTTGGTATCTATGATTGTACATAGTATAAATTTGTATGCAATGGATCAGTAAGTTTAGCTATATGAAGGTGTTTTCTGTAACAACATATTCTTTGGCTTATTTGTTATTTTCATGTATTCCATGCAGTGGCTTGATGTCTAAACTAGGCTGATTTTAAAATTTCAGTATACATGCTTGCTCTTGAGGCTTGGACATTCTCTTGGTTAAGAGATATTTTTCTTAGGAATTCGAGCACGTAAAATCTATAGACCAGACAGTTAGTACAGTACATTGTATTGCCGCTTTGCAATTTTTAATTTGTATTCTCAAACAGATGATTAGTATAGAGTTCTAGAAAAGTGTAGGAACATTATATCAATGTCGTCTTTGTTTTCTATTCCTAAATTTGTCAAATGAAAGTGGTGGAACAGAGAACTTGATCAATCAACTAGCTGCACATACTTGCATAACTTTCATGACATACTACAATTTAACTTTCAGATCTTTCACAACATAGTACACCTCTTTCATGACATACTACAATTTGATATCAGGTACATGACCTTCAAGTGCAATCGTTTGCTCATATTATAGTGCTAAGAACTCAAGAAGCTGTGAAGCCTAGCAGTATTAGTAACATCATATCTACCAGTTTAAGGTATTGGAAAAGCTTATCTTGCTTTCAATTTCAATTTAAGATGTATTTTTTAGTGTTGCTGATGGTGATCGGAAGTAATATGCTACCTGATATAAATTTTAACTCATGGCATGTGTTTACTCTGAAGATTTTTGGGTTATTTTTATGGCTGCTTATCATGTTTATGTCTAACCTTCTATTTCTGAACTAATTCCTTTATTCTTTCAATTCCTTACTTCTATTGTTGAATGAGTTTTTGTCATTTTTCATATTAGGAAAATAGAAAGGGTGCAGATAAAAATATAAAGGAAGTATATTTTAAGTACTCAGGTAGCATGTCCATCTGTTCTTGACTTTTGATAGTTCATTAACAACCATGTTCCATGTTCTCTTCTTCTGGAACATGTTGTTGCAGAGGTATCTCTAGCAATTGAAGCCCTTTGCCAAATTTTTTGTCCTGATTGGCTGGTCATTCCGCACTACTACAATGTTAATTTAACTCTTAGCCTATTAATTACTATGAACCTCCTTTGCTCTGTTGGTAAAACATTATCCAGCTTTTGTTTCCCGCATTTAGAATTTCCTCTCTATTGATGATTTGATGGTTTCTTGTGAGTTGTTGAACTCCCACTGATATTTTAGTCTTCATTCATGATTTCATATACCCAGCTTAGTAGTCCCTAACTGATGCTTGTTAATTCACTTAGCTGTTACCTTTAGCATCAAAGCTCATGCATTTTTGTAAATTCTGACTTGGATTTTATATACTAATGAAGTGAAATCTGTTTATATATGAATGCAACTTCTTGCCAATAAAAAGGGCTACTAAAGGATTATAATCTTTCTGCCAAAAAGAAAAAAAGGATTTTAAGCTAACTAGGATTTTATGTGTGAATGCAACATCATTTTAATTCATAATTAGTATTTTGGTTATGCTGTAGACGTACCAAGTAGAAACTTGTCAAACTAAAATGTTTTGAAGCTTACACTGCTAATTCTAGTGTGATTTTAGTACCTGACTACCTGTAATATTTTAATGTGTTTGCACTTTGCAGTACAAATTCTGGGCTGTTCATATATATAGTTATCAGTTAAATAGTTTCAACAAGCTGGGTTTTCAATACAGATTATAGTATTTCAAATTCATTAGGGACTCTTATCTGTTAAATTCCATTAATTCTTGAGATTCATGTACAAATTCGGAGTCTTTTATATTTCGATAGTTTGGACCATGGAGAAGATTCGTAAGGTTTTATCATCATTTTCTTCGTGCCAGTTTATGAAGGTGTCGCGTTCTTCTGTTGATGCTGCTCATTCTCTTGCTGGTGCAGCTCGTCGTAGGGATTTACTTAGCTATGTTTTTTAATTTTATTTGTTAGGTTTCTTTGTCAAAAAAAAAAAAAAAAAAAATCGGAGTCTTTTATAATTTGATGTAGGATTATATACGTAGTACATTTGATGGTAATTGTTTGTTAAATTGTGGTATGAAACACTATCTCTGTCTCTTATACTTCGTAATTAACAAGGTTGATTTACTTCCCTCTCGTGGCAGCACGGCTTGCCATGTCAACCACTAGCAAGGCTAGATCTCACGTTGCCCAGCAAAGCTCAGCCTTCAAGCATGCACTGTTAGTCCACATCTCAGCAAATATCAAGTCTTCTGGACTTTTGGCTTCTTTTCTTTAATTGTTTTCTTAATTTTTTTAATGTTATTATTTATTTAATTTTGTACTCCGTATTTAATTTTTGTTGATTGCGTTTTGAGGTTTAGATTCATGAAAAGTTGTACCCCCATTCCCCTATATGGGCGATTAATATATTGTAAGACAGATTAAAGTTATCATAAAAGTATTAAAAGTTATCCTTTATAATACAAAAAAGTTACTATTTTTCTTAAAAGTCAACTTTTATAGAGTATCTTCACAAAATGAGTCATGACCTATTGAATTTTGGGACAACCGGTTGTTTCAGTAAATTAAGTCACGTGTCATTATGTGGTTAGTCTTTTTTTAAAAAAAAAGTTATTAAGATTATTTATTAATTAACTATTTTTAAAAAAAAAACATTTTTTCAATTAACAGTTAGTGTTAGGCCTGGGCGATGCCCCGTGTTACTGCATTGTTTCCATGATAAAAATCTTTATTACAATATAATCTTTATTGAATGACATGTGATATGGTAATAGCTTAATGGATAACACGTTAGATTTTAAACTTGAGTTTGTGGCTTCAAATCTTGTAAGAACCATATTTTTAGGCATGGAGTAAAAATCGGATTAAATGAGGAGAGCGCCACGTGACATCTAAATTTCTTTACGAACGCTCGACGATCGGATACCACTCCTTCCCCTAGCGCCGGAAAGCCCACCCCTTCCCATTCACCCACGACATCCCGTCCATCCCTTTACCGCTTCTCCCCACCCCGCCCCAAATCTTCCTTACAGTGCTTTTAAGCTCGAACCTTCCTTACAGTGCTATTGGTGACTTTATTATTATTATTATTATTATTATTATTATTATTATTATTATTATTATTATTATTATTATTGGAGCTGTTTTTCTGCATCGGTGGCGGCTTCTTCTTGGGGGCAGGCTTAGGAGCTGGAGCGGACTTGGGAGGCTTTTGAGGCTCGGGCGTCGGACAAGAGCGGGAGGTTTAGTCTTGGACAGAGGCTTGATCTTGATGCTCTTAATGGATTTGCCAGTTTTGCAACAAAACTTGTCTCAGCTCTAATCTTTTGCAGCAAACCACAATGATGGTCACCATGTTATTTTTTTCATTGAACACTTGGTCTCTGTAACACCTCAATAATTCTCTCTTTAAACCTGTGAGGACCCTGAACAATATTCAAGAGAATTACTAGCGTGCTACCGCCACATGTTCAAATGTGAAGGTTGTATCAGAAATTAGTAGCGGAAAAAATAAATCAGTTACAAATAAGTCACAAAACCAAGAAATAAAACCAAATTAAGTGATACAAGATGGAACCATTAAGGCCTTATTCATAACCCAACAAAAGTAGTAAATAAATAAAAGGAAAATTTATCAACAACTACCATTTAAATTATCACTTTTGAGAATAATTACCATTTAAAACTTTTTTTTTCAAAAAACTACCACAAAAATACAAAAACTTTGAGTAGCACTACCACATATAATTTTCCGGCAATAATTTTCGGTTAGTGGGGCCTAATTTATAAAACTTTAATCAATTGTGGTTGAAATAACTAGGGAATTCAGTGGCTAAACACAATTGTAGGTAAATTGTTTTAAAATTTGCGTTATACTTGATTTAATTTCTCAATTTTATCTTAAATTAGGGTTCATAATTAAAAAATTGAATTTAGGGTTTTAAGAAATTGGGGTATATGGAGAAATTGAATCGTATTATCCAATTTA